CCTCAGCACAGATTGCATTAAATTATTTTTCCTTTCATTTTTGTTTTATTCTCTGGCTTTCAATTCCAATGCATCCTCCTATTATTGCTTTCACCTTTATCATTTTATAAAGGCTTCAGCGCCGATCTATACTATACATACTAAATTCTTCAATTTAATTGAGAATTTCCACTCTTAATAATAATAAAATAATATCTTAGAAAGTTTATTTTAAATGTTAGTATATTTGTAATTTTAAATGAAGAAATGCTAAAACAAATTACCATAATTGCAAGCACTGCTAGAAATTTCCTCACCACTGTGTATATAAATTTTCCTACATTTATATATTTTAAGTAATGTTTGTGCTTCATAAAAGCCCGGTTACAATTTGTATCTGCGTTCATGCATGAAGTTTAGCTTTACCGCCCTGCTAGCCCTCACTTCGCTTCATAAATGACATTTTATATCGATCATCGTCGCATGTAATAGGATAAACTGTTATTTATATTTTATTATTAAAATTTTGTATATCACCACTGTTCAAAATATTTACTCTCTCCCCCGCGAATGCCATTTCACCTCTATTGCTACGCTAGTTGTCATCCGTTGGGTGTGTTAATAGCGGCATTCATGGGTGTTAGTGCAAACTCTTTTCACACTTTGCGTTCCCTCATCAACGGAACGCTTCGTTTGCGATGAATTGATATTCTGTCCACATATTATGGAAATTCCTTAATTATAGTATTTATTGCATATTTTTCATAATCTAATTGCGCAAATAGAGAACAGTTTTCCGCCGTGTTTGCTATTATTATTGTTGTTATATTTATAGCCATGATCATTAACGTCATTACATAGTAATTGTTTGTAATGGGCGGACATAATAACTATATTAGTTAAAAGTGCTATTCGAAACTTCAAAACGTGTTTAAAAATGACAAGTGTTTTTAACATCTCATCATCTAGGGACTTGACAGTTGCAAGGTCGTTTAATCATCGAGTGTAATTAATATAATATATGTGCATATACAATATTTATTCATGACAACTATTTTATGTAACTACAATATATGAAGTGGTTTTATACCCTGAACAGGGCATATTAAGTTCGACACGAAGTTTCTTATAGCCAAAACATTTTTGTTTTTGTGTTTTTTAAGAAAATATAATTTTTATTTGGACTCAATATGAAAAGTTTTGAAGTAATGAATTATCAAAATTTAAGCGCTTGAAAAAATTACCTTTAAAGAATTGCGTATATGAAGCAAAGTATTTCATTATAAAAATTACTAACGAGCCTATTACGATTTTTCCCAGCTTTCCAATGAGATACAAGTCGACTTTTTTTTGGACTTTTTTTTTTGCAAACAAAAGGTACATTTTTATAAACAAATATATATTTTTTTTAATCGTAATAATTTTTATTAATTTTCCTTGTTTTTATTGATTGTCGCAGCCATCAATATCGGACCACTATTGAATATAGCTGCTATACAAACTGATCGATCAAAATCAAGTCCTTGAATGCACAACTTGTATATATTAATTCTCGAAATTTGACATAAATTGTTGCGCGCTATTTCTGAACATATTGTTCGGATGTTATATAGCTGTCACACGACCTGACCGATCACAAACAAAATAAAGATCTTTATACCTATACAAGCAATTAGAAATGTACCTGTGTAGGGTGCAGTCGAAGTCTTGTTTTTTTTTTCTTTTACATTTTTGTGTATCCACATTTGGCACTCTTTACCTTTGCACACGTGACATCCGTCTGAAAAAATTATTGTAGGTGTGCATTGTTTTACACGGAACACTTGGCGCCACAAAACCTTCAGCACTCTGTGACCAATTCACATTTTACTCTACGTATACGTCGATAACTTGAACCCACGACCCCGGAAAACAAGGCGTTGTGCTTCGTACAATTGTCCTACAAGTGCTTTTTTAACGAAAATACATACATACAACATACCTACTATATACAAATTTTTAATACATAATATACTCGTACGCCTCACATATATACAGACATTTGCACATATAATATTTTATGCGCATACCACTTTTTACCTTTAAATGCTTTAAGGCACTTGGCGGGCACAACAACCCATGGAAATGAATGTGCCATTTCGTTTTGTTTAGAAGAACGCACGCCATGACGGCGAGTGGGTGGAGAAACTGTCAGAATGAATGAAAAGCATGGACACACCCACTGCCAGTCAACGGCACATTCGATAAACGAAAAAGCATTGTGTGTAAGAAGCGTTAAATGAGAAAAGCAAAAATACGTCACCTACGCAAACATACATACATACACACATCTTACTTTTAAACATTTCTTTTTCTACGAAATAATTTTGTTAAAAGCGTTTGCTTGAATTAAATTCTTAAATATTTTCCGTAAAATGTCTTCTTCTAATATCTGTTTTCAGACAACTTTACCAATAACTGTCCAGTCACTATTTTGTTCTCCGTCATTCTGGGGGTTTAATAAATAAGCCAAAATAGTTGCTAATCATTCGGCGAATTTATTTCACTTTCTTTGCCAAATTCAAATATCAATCCCATCCTCAGAATACCCTTCGTTATTATTATTGCGTTTATAATTTTGCCAGCAGACATTATTATTTCCATTAGCATGATTTTCACTCACGCTCTGGCTTGTACGGTATGGTGGTCTTGCTTTTGTTTTTATACTATGGATGATTACTCATGATATTTCACTTCAGCGCCTCCGACAGTAAATTTTATTTCCGTTTTTGTGCAAATAATGTTGTAGTTGCCAGACTGACAGACAGCGTCATGTCGAACACACAACGACACCGTCATCGACACCTACATACCACGAGACCTAAAATTCCGTTGCTTTTTACTTGCGGTAGCTTTAACTTACAAAAACAAGTAGATTTGTATACCCACTTCTCACTAAAAACTTTTCGGTAGTTTCTCCATCATATTCTCAAAAATAAGAGTAGTGCGTCGTTTTTGTTAGTGTATCTAAATTTTCATAAACTTCAAGTAAATATTTTTTAGAAAAGAAATTACTGACCAGTATACTTGGCGAAGTTTTCGATTCACTCTGATGTATAGACATGTGTACAAATATTTACATGTATTTGTAGCGGAAAATTGTATCCGTGTCTTGGGTTAATGATTTTCCACTCAAAGGCCGGAGATCGTAAAACTTTCATTGGAACATTTGTGCACTTCTTCGATAAACTTTACTCGATAAACTTAGTTATGTATTCTACATATGTGTGTGAGGGGGGCATACTTAAAACAAAAGTTAAGAAATAACCCTCAAGGACGTTGTGGGAGTCGCGTGATAATTGGTTCTTTAAAGTACTTTAAATTTGATGTAGACGTGCGTCTACTATTTTATATTACGGAAAATTTTCTAAATAAAGCTTAATATCAATTTAGCTTTAAATACTTTACCGTTTATTTCACGATGTGTTCGGTTTTTGTAAAGATACGATATGGACTTAAGTGGGCTGAAACAACACGATTCAAAGGATTCCATATTTTATTTACATATAGATTATTCGAATATTTTAGTAAGAAAAACTGGACATATTATTCAAAATTCCTCCCCTTCCCTTGAAAAATCAAAAATTTTGGCATATCTAAAATCCAAGATATCAGCAGTTAAATACTTCACATTTTACAGAAATTTTTCGGAAAGGATTTTTTTTTTATAATAAAATAAATTACTATAAAAAAATGTAGTAAAGTCCCTTTCCGAAATATTTTTTGCTACGCCAGTGAAAGGTGTGCTGTTCTTTAAAGAATTTCTACGACTACTCGTTTACCTTGTGCTAACGGAATTTATGTTTCACCCTCAAACGGCAGCGCTTCCGCCAAGGAAACCTTTGCTGAAACGACAGGAAAAACGGAAATTCGTTTTTCTTCATACTGCCATTCTCTTCTTCTGTATGTTTATCTAACAGAAGAATATTAACGGTGCTTGCGGTTGCAACATGTACTTATTTATGTGCGTTCTTCAAGTAGAATATGCAGAATATCTGAGTTTCCGATGTTCAAAAAAAGTGCATAGCGCCACCTGCGTGATATACATATGTATGTTGGTACAAAACAACTTATATATATATATACATATATACTTGTATGTCTACGCGTATATAATAAGAATATATAATATTTAGCGTAAAAATTTATAAGCTCGGGTCGATAGTTATGTGCATATGTATACACTTATATAACTGTTAGTAAATGTAACAAAAACAATAAAAATCTATCGCATCATTCATATTTCAGTTCGTCAGTAAAGGTAATGTACTTATATTTTAATTTCATAAAAAGGTAAAAATCAGCAAAAATTTTCTAAAAATATAATATTATTCTTTAACTTGAAACTTATCTGTTTGAATTAAATGTATCATCTAGCTTAGCTTATCATCAGCTGTAAACAAAAATACGCAATAATTATTCTAATTCTGCATTAAATCTGTTAGGCATTCATTACCGAAGGATCAAGTTAAAGTTGGCGAAAATATATCACTTACACTTATCGATACATAAACTTTATACAGAGGTGTCTTAAAACACCTTACACCTTTCGATACATAAACTGGCACTAAGTCTCTTAAAAAATTGTAAATTTTATGGCTACATCTTCTTGTGCTTTGGCAATGGTAATTCGAAAGCAGTACGCACTGATTACTGTGAGGTGTGAGACTCTATAAAACACAAAATTTATTGATTTCAGCAGCATTTTCGAAATGTTGTAGATAAGAAAGTCGTAGACGACGATGTCGGGGGCGCAGCTATGCCCTCCTTCATAGAGAGTTGGCGATAATTTTAGTGCTTTTGCTTATTAATAGCTGCGAGCGAGCTAGCATAAAAGTATTTAGTTTGCATTACTTCAAAGCAGTTGCATTATTTTAAAAAATACAAAAATATATTTTTACAATTTAAATTCAAGCATAAATACATATACCTATGTACATATATAATTTGAAATAAATTTTTTTCTGCTTCTTCTTTTTCAGCCGACAATGCTATAAGTAAGTACAGTTGTTTATTTAATATAAGAAACCAATTGGCAACAACAAATGTGCACTTAACTCAGTATGTCTATATAATAAATAATTTGCATTCGTTTTGCGCGAATTGGACTGTCTCTTGCAGTTTTTACTAACTCATTTATGGTTTCAAGCAAATTTGTGTGCAATGCTAATAGCAATAAAACACTTTACATAGCATACTCAGGGGCGGTTATAACACCCATTTAAGTTCGAGCACTCGCGCAAACCTTTCACAAATTTTCTCCACTTATATAACTGCAGACTGTAGGGAAAATGACTTAACTGCGGTTGTTATAATCAATTTTTTAATTTTCGTCTTGCTTTTCACATTTTCTGCGTTTTATTTATTTACTTTTTGGTCGGCACATTTTATTTTAGCCTAAGCCTGTTCAAGAATGCTTCATGCTATGGTACGGTAGCGTTAAATAATTAAGCTTAGGCTTTTTGGTTCCAAAAAATCAGCATATTGTGAAAGTGTGTAAATAAATAGTCCTCTTTACCAGTCTTCGAAGCTTGCCCATAACTTTCCAAGAGTGCGAAAGCAACGATCTCTTAATTTGTTTTTTGCTGTGCAACGTTTGCTGCACTTCCAATTTAAATAGCCGCCGAAAGAGTGGGGTCTCGCATGTTTGGTCAATTGCGATAAAAATACAGTGAGACTAACATTTTTGCTGCAATAATAATTAAAGTTAGCACATCTATGTCTCTTTCTGCTATAATATAATACTTTTTATAGCAACTCTTCATGAATTTTCTAAATTTGTAATTTTGTAAGTTAAAAATTTTGAAATTCTAACCAAATGTTATGTTTGTAGCACATTAAAATAATGGATTAAACATGGCTTTATTTATAGTAAATTATCAGAATGGCAAATTGTGAAAACTTAGCACTGTCGGCAAACAACGGATTTACTCAGAAATACTCACATTATATAAATATTTACCAACTTTGCTACAAAACTCAATTTTGGAATATATTTGGTCTTAAAAATGTTGAGAGGTATGCCTAACCATGCCTTATTGTATGTTTAGTATACTTCTCTCTTAAGGGTGTCTTGTGAACTTTAAAAAACAGTTCAACTCTTTTTATCAAAACATGTATCTTTTTATTAAAACATATAGTACGATAATCGAAAAATTTTGAATAAAATATTTACGAAGAAATATAAAAACATACGACTATGTCAGCCATTATTCGGCCGTGTCTCGAGATAAAGTAGGATTACGGTGCCCCTCATAACTTGGTGTTTCATCATCCGAAATCAAAAAATCAAAGTCCATTCGTCAGATAATATGTTTTCCGAGGTAACGTCTGGATATTTTCGGATTTTCGAAAATTAAAGCTTTGAAGGTTTTTTGGAACATTTTGAAGAGAAAAACGCGATTTTTTGCGAAAAAATCGTCTAATTTGTTATAATAAAATAAAAATTATTAACAAATTGAAAAATGACTCTCCGGTCTTATCTGGTAAATTTATACAGGTTCGAAATTACAAAAAGCTCGTTGCAGTACTTTGGAAGCTATGAAGTGCGTGTTCTCATGGAAAACGTAAGACAGATATAAATGTACTCATCAATACAACTCTAAGTGACTTTTTTTGAAATTTTAACACAGTATTCGTGAACTATTATGTATTCAACTTAAGACTACCAAATAAAAAAAAAATTAAAACCTTACTCCCCCTTAAGTTATCTCAAGCAAGCTTGGTTAAAACAATACACTTTACAATCATATTGTTACAGAATTTTTATTTTAAAAAATTAAGAAACCAAAAAGTTGGTTATTTTAAATGTTTACATAAATTTTGAGGTTATGTGCAAAAAGATTTGAAACTCACAAGTTGTAGATCCTTTTATTACCTACAACTTTGCCATTAAACTTTTTTCCATAGGACTTGTAATTTTTCCGAAAATCGAGATAAACCGGTTTTTACCCTTTAAAACTCAACCACAACCCGTCACTTTCCCTTTTCAAAGTCTTCAGCGCTGAACTATATATACTAAATTCTTCAATTTAATTCTGAATTTCCACTCATATAAAAATATCTTAGAAAGCTTATTTTAAATGTTAGTATATCTGTAATATTATTTTTAAAAACGTGTAATTTTAAACCCCAATAAATTGGAGGAAAACATAAAAGCATTACACTTTACACGCTCAAACCGGGCAATTACCATACACATTGTTACAGTATTTTTTTAAATAACTAAATGTGTGGTTCGTTATCTGGAGATAATTTTTAAATTGAACTACAGGTGTGACAACGATCTCTTTTAGATAAAGTTTCATATCTCACGAACTATTTGACCGATTTGAACCCTATTTTGTACTTACACATAATATATTCATAACATAAGCATAGCCCCAATAAACTGAATTGAGTGATTTTTGTTCCTCTGGTTAATTTTATGTGATATATTATAATGTGGCAATATAATATGAGATATTGCACAAATTTAGAGGAGAAAATTTCGCTTAGCAGAATGTAAGTTAATATACCGAAGTTGGGTATCTGACCTTTCGGTCGATTCTATACCAAATATGTCGGTAGTGCTCATTCTAACGGATATAGCATATTCACCCCATTTATAATTGAATTTACTCCGAAAATGCAAACAACAAATGAGTTAACTTAATGATATACCTTGATGCCCTCAACTTAATTTAGCATAAATAGACCGATTGTGTACATAAAACCAAATATTGATTCCCCAATTTTTTTATAAACATATAGAGTAAAATGCAATTATATTATTGTCAAAAATCTAGTTTCTTCAGAATTATAAATAATATCATTTCATAGAATTTTGTGCACCATTTTGCGCTTTTAGTAATGCTCTTATTTCCACCATTTGCTGTCTAAAGCCTGCCAGAAACTACAACCACGCTTTAAGTTACCTGAAAAATTGTGCATATTCATGTTTCTACGGATTATATCATAAGTCGGAGCGTATGTATATGTATTATATACTTGCCATCGCCTTTGTTCAAACAATAATTCTTTTTTTGGCTCTGATCGAGCAATGGAAGTGCTAGCCACACGAAAGCTTATGAACGTGTGTAAAGATATATCAAAACACGCTAGAATCATCCTATTATTAAACACAAATACGCGTATGTATGTATGCACATGTGTGTATATTTAGGCACTACTTTGGACATATGTGCTTATACATACATATATACACATGTATATATTGTAAATTTAGATATATGCCATTGATTGTGTTCTTCTTTGCTTGGCATCAGCTTTTGACGGTAGTTGTTGTTGCTTTGTAAAGTTGTTGTTGGTGACAATGGTGGTCGAGGCGTAGCGAAGTGGTTGAGGTACTCAGAGGAAATAATTACATGATTGAGGTACGAATAGCAACCACTTTTTACAAGTGCCCTGCTTTTTGTTGCTTTTCAGCCAGTTCGGTTCTTCGCTGGTCATGTCATTATTGTTGTTACATATAACGTGCCAAGCTACATACATACATACGTCAATGGTGGACAAGCAGGCAATTCAAAAGCGCACATCCGCCGTAAACGTGTTGGCTGCACCGTTGAAGATGACGAAATTGTCGGCCATAAGTATATAAGTAAATATACTTGTTATGCATGTAAGAGTATATGCTTCTATATATAGTTATATCCATGAGAGCGTTATGCTTCGTGTCTCGGATGCGGTGTGTCGGCTGTTGTTATATGCTTGTATGTGCCAGCGACCGACCGCCGGACACTTCGATTGCATGACAGACAGCGCTTTTTAAGAATTCATGATAAAAACACAATCGGACCACAACAAAGGCACCACAATAAAAAACCTATGCGCTTATGTATATACACACATATGTACATATGTATGTATGTATGTATGTACAAAACACCGCAACAACAAAAGCAGCATTCAGTAGCAATTGTTGTCGGGCCAGGAACGACATTGACGTGTTTAGCTTTATTTGTTGTTGGGGTTTTGCTTTCGTCGCTTTTTTTCGTATGACCGCCGTATATCGTTGTGGTTAGCGATGACGCCGACTATGGCGTTGGTGATGGCGATGGCGATGGTGACGATGACGGCAATGGCTACGGGCAATTATTGTATCATTTGTTGTAGGGCAAAACATTTGAACGGCATGGCACGATATGTTGTGTTTGTAGATTCGCGCCGATATTACCAGGGCTCGTATGTATATGTTGTTGTTGCCAACGATTTTATTCTTAATCTTGCCTCCAATGTTGTCATGTTTTTTTATTGTTTAATACGTTTTTTTTAGCGTTATAACATGTTAGATGCACGTGTGTATGTTTGTACATATGTGTAAGTACGTAGTACCAAGTTGTGCTCGTAAATGCATTATTGCCATGAATCGCAACTTTTTTTAAGAATTCATAGTTTTATAATAAACAAACATATGCAGCTTAGGTAATTGTTAACGCCCTTACTCTTTGTTTTCGCTTCCATTGATTAAACAACAGCACAATTTTTCATATACAAATACAAAATAATGAAAGTATTTAGAATATATAGAAAAAGGCTGCAAAAGTATATGCAAGGGAACTGCTTAAGACGGTTTAAGGGAATGTGTTAAAGGTTTGACAGAAACTTCCGACATTTTCAGAAGGTTTATAAGCATGTAGATGTGCTGTGATCACACCAAAATATATTATACAATATGCTAATATATAGTTTCCATTCAAAAAATATTATATATATATGAATTTTAAATTAGCTTTAATTTTTAGTTTTTTTGGTTTCGTGTCACGTATTCTTAACTCTCAGTTTTCATGGCTTTCCCATTACCTCTGAAGGGCGTGCTATATCTTAACAGTGTTAAACCAATGAAATTTATTTTAAAAATAAATATTGAATCCATTAACATTCTGTCTATGAAAATAGTTTTTTTGTTTTGATCCTTTCATATAATATCAATGGTTTCGTTATAGCCATGGCGATGGTAAAATATTCTGTTTGCCATATCGTAGTTTTTGACGCGGAG